AATCTTCTATTCTAACATTTGGCAAGTAAGCAAAAACTGTAGTTTAAATACGGAAAACTACTTCCTAGAAACATCATCAGTATTGAATTAGCAGTTTGACTCCACAGTTCGGCTACCATAGGGCAACTTTATGAGGATGAAATTACACCTTGTGAACTTGATGACACTGACACTGTCATCTGCTACCGTTTCAGTTTCCTCGCTTTGAAAATGTCCACAAACATTCACCCCTACAGAGAGGATAAAACCAATGCCAGTAGGGATGAACTATAGGTTTCCGTTTCCACCCAGCATTCCACCACCCTCGCTGATGCGGCAAACTACGCATCGCTAATCTTTCATCCTGTTGAGTGGTCAAATGATAATATACAAGCTGTCTCAGAAACATCACTAAAAGACATACATAAATATAATGATATATATAATATGTATAAATATCTTATATTTGCTTCCCTAAATATATTATAAATACTGTTGAACACCCAGACCCTGGGACTGTTTTGGTTTCCGTCCAAAGCTCCCAGCAGCCTGACTGATGCCTATCTGTCATGGCATAAAAAAATTAAACATCCTTGTCTCAATGGCTTCCTTCCTCCAGCTCTTTAGGAATTGGATGGTGATCTCCACCCAGTTGCCGTGGGAAACATCTCTGTGCTCGGTGTCTCTAATGAGCATCAAATGAAGGGTTTCCTTTTTCTGAAATCCTCTTCTGTTTTGGAGAAGAAAATGCAGGCCTTAAATTAATCAGTCAACACTTCAAAGTGCATTTCATCCTCCTAACTGAACGATGTTGTAAACAAAGGTGACTCACGCCTCCAATAAAAACCCACAGCGCACGCCAAGGTTTCCCTTCAGACAGTGAAGCTTTGTACAGTTCTACAGAAGTGTGGCGGAACACATCACAGAGACTCGAGGACATGAGATGCATCTACAAGGTTAATTGTGTATTTGCATATAACTTGCATTCATAGTCATTGAAAATATGTTTGTTATCTGACTTGTATGCAGTGGTTATACAGATAATTGAGGGTAAATGTAGCAATACTCTAATGTAAAAAATGCTCTGTTACAAGTCCTACAATTTTAGCATAAGCGTCAAAATATACTTTAAGTATCAACAGTAAAGGTACTCAAGATTCAGAAAGGCCCATTTCAAATTAATTTGATATATAACATCAGCATTGATTCATAACTGTTAATATCACCTGAGGGTTTCATCTGGTGAAGATGGAGCTTATTTCAATAACTTCATAAACTGCTGGGTAGCAAGAACTCAAAAATATTAACTAACATATTTGTTGATTTATGTATTTTATTAATAACAATATCTGCAATTTAGCTAAAGCTGCCACATGTGAACTGGAAAGTACATTTTACCTCACAAATCTGGAGATGTAGAAGTATAAAGTGATATAAATTGAAAATGTAATCACTTTACTTGAGTTAAAAGAACTTGGAAACATTCCACCACTGCTCAGATGGTCCCAACTGTAGTTTTCCATAGAGCTTTTGCATTTGTTGAATGATATTCTGCAGATATGCTTTATAAAGTTTATTTTTCTGTCACTAATGGGGCGAAGCCTGCGAGCTAGTTCAGGCAGTCAACTCGAGCACTTCATTCATACATAACGCCCCTTGCCACTCTACAACCAACCAAACAGAGTCTCCTTAATATGCCGCTCTATTTAACCTGCCAGATCTCTCTCTATGCATTGCTTGCTGCTGCTATTGCTGCAGCTACTTCCACGTCACTGCTGCTTGCCTGCCCCACCACCACCCCAGCTTCCACCCCAGCTTCCACCTNCTGTCTGGGATAATGGTCCGTACCTGCAGGTGGAGGGCGCCCTTGCTGGCCTGTCACCACGCGAATCGTTTTCACTGTCTGGATTACATCTGGATAAATGCGTTACTGCAGTGGAGCCCTCTCTCTTGGAGGGGCGCACAGGGAATTTACCCCTGGGACAAATAAGGGTGAAGGTCCTCTCTGCTGCCCATTTAGCAGCAGAAAACGGCCGGTGTCTCGGGACTCCCTGCCTGATCTCTTCGGAGTCGTACACAGGGGACTTACCCCTGAGCGCCACGAAGGTTTTGTTAGGTCGCAGCGTCTGGCCGGCGCTGTGTAGTGGGCGCACCGGCGGCAGGGATACACCGGGAGGTTCTGGTTTCCTGCCTGGTGTCTGAGGTCGTACCAGGGGACTGGTACCCGTTGCGGAGTATTGGAACGTGGGCACTTCAGGCTCTTCGCCCTAGGCCTGATTCGTGAGGGGTGCCTGATTTGCGTCTACTAGTGGAACGTCTTGGAGCCTTACGGGACCATTTGTGATTTTCCCCCCCTAAACGCCACGAAATGGGGCACGCCCGGCCGGTGCGGCGGGTGCGCGGCGGTGCGCGGGGCGGCGGCCGCGGCCGCGTAGTGTGCGGCGCGCCGCGCGCGTAGCGCGGCGGTGTTTGCTGGGTAGCCGTAGTGTATTTAGCCGAAGTTAAGTGACGGGTTGTGGGGAAGGCACTCCTTGTGTTTTAATAGTACGGGGAAACATTGTGATATTATTTATCTAGACTATTGGTTCCTTCGAGTATGTGGTTTTCGTGATATGTTGGTCTTATTAATAAATTTACCAGCCTCCTGTTTTCATAAAATATTTTGTCAACTTATTTCGTCATTACATGCGGACAGTAAAACTGCCTATAGGAAATTGTAACTGGTAGGGGAGGCGGACGGTCGTTCTAGTATTTTAGGTCTTTTCAGTTACAATTTTTTTTTACTATAGGATTTGTTTTACTGGTCCGATTTGTGGTGCCGGCGAGCGAAGCTTTTTCCTCTTCCTTTTTCTACAATACACCGCACCACTGTCGGTCGTCTCCCGGGAGTGGACGTCCATTGCCTGTAAATAGGTCTAACTAATATAGGGTCAGGGACCAATTTTCCCTTTTGTTGCCACAATGATCATGGTGCGTGAACCGATTTTGTTTCGTTTTGAAGAGCCCCGAGCCTCCTGGTTTTGGTTCCGGGTTGTTTGATTCAATGGACTTGGTTTGTTTTTGGGTTACGTCATCCAGATTGAGGGGGGTTGGAGCTAGGGGAGTGGTGGATTTGGTTGGAGCAATTTGAGGTTGGGGGGCCGGAATGGTGTTTTGAGGGAGTTGGCGAATAGAGATTTTGATCCCCATAAGGTCCATTTCCTCCGCTGTTCTAAGGAAGACTTGGTCCTGGATTCTTGGATATTTGGACCTTATCCATTTCGAAGCCACCTCCCAGGCTTGTTGTTCCTCAGCTCCAGTCAGTGCCTTGAGATTGCCCAGTAGAGCTACGATGTTTCGATTGTAGTGTTTGTCCGTTATTAGGAACCCCGTGTGGAGCCAATTAATGGCATTTCCCTGTAAGAGGTATAAAGACTCCGTCATAGGGATACTTGGTGTGAAAGCACAAGTAATTAGATTTTTTTTTTTGTTAAAGGTATCTGGGGGTGGGTGCAGAACCTAATGGTTTTGGTGGTCCAATTAATGATTTAGGTAGCAATGAAGTGTATAAGGGTTAGGTAATGACTCTCTCTTTCACATTACATTTTACCCATAGGCCAGAGCAATACTATACTGCTAAGACGCTATGTTAGGCTTAAAGATTACAGTTTGCAAACCAGCAGTAGCAGCACAGCTAAGACTGACAGCAATGTCATTCGTTTTCATCATACCCATTTATAGTAAAAATGGCAGGGTTACCAATGATTTTGTTTTCTGTTATGTAATGACATTACAACTTCTCAGGCAGCTAGAATTAATTTTTAACTATTTTCATTTCTATTTTTAGTTTGATCATCTCAAAGATGTTCATGGGAATATATGCCTGTTAAGCCACTATCTAATCGTCACAGCAGATGAGAACTGTTGTAGGCCAACCCTGTCTCCTAAAAATTACGTTCCCACAGAACTAAACTGCATTCTCAATTACGTTTAACTAGAAACGTATTTTCTCCCACGTTACGTTCGTTATGAACTTACCGCAAATACGTTTATTTTCTACATATCTTCTAGAAACATATTTTCTCCCACGTTACGTTTCGTATGAACGTATGTTAAATATGTTTATTTTCTACATATCTTTGTCATTTATTGTCTTGCTTATAATAATGATAATAGTCATTTATAAATATCATTTTAGAGCACACATTTGAAATCAGCAGGCGAGGCTGTAATTTCTCCAGCTGTTACTCTCATGAGCGAGGCAGAAAATAATAGTTTTATCATGCCAAAAAGCTGCTGTGTCGTTTATTGCACCTCAAACATTAAAACAAATCCAGAGTTACGTGTTTCTGTACTTCCTCTAAGAAGAAAGGACAGTAACAGAAGATGTCGTGGCGGTATCCGTATTCGTCCCATGCCGTCACGGTTCGGACATCACGGTTCGGCACATGCAGTCACACGGCGAATACGCCTTTTTTTACGAGTGGGAAAAAAGTCTGTCACTCAGGGCAGTATTACACTATATATAATCCAAGGGGCGGTATTGCGCCTAAAAGCCAGCCGCCCGTATAACAAATGAAGAACAAGAACAAAACACAACAAAACGAACA